TTTTGTTTACTATCATACATATATATATGTACATTCTTATATATATATATATATATATATATGTTTTCATATATACATATACATGTATATATATTTATATTCTTAATTTTTATATATATCCATACATAATATGCCTTTGAGTTGAGTGTGCTGTATGCACATTATAATATATTTAAATAAATAAATAAATAAATTAATTATATTTAATTAATTAATTTAATTAGTTTATTAGTTTATTTGTTTGTTTATTTGTTTAGGGTCCTTCCTTCATACATTGATCATATCCTCAGCACCCCTTTATCTTTATTAACTCGGATATTTGGTATCCACCGCGTGGAGTTATATACAACAAATGAAGCAGCAGCAGCAGCAGCAGCAGCAGCAGCAGACACAGTACAGACAATTCAAGAAACAGATATGCAGCATCCTAAGAAGCTACTTAAACCGCCTAGAAGTGAAGGAGGGGGGGCCCCCGGGGGCTTCGGAGATGTTTGGGGGGCCCCCTATGGCAGTGAGTGCTTTGTTACAGACAATGTTTCGCAGCGGGGTCCAGCAGCAGCAGCAGCAGCAGCATCAACAGGAGCAGCAGCAGCAGCAGCAGCAGGGCCTAGATGGAGTGGGGGCCCTAGTAGCTTTCAAGGGGCCCGGGGTCAGTCAGAAACCTTTGGTTTTTCTCGTCGTTTATCTTCTGCTGCTGCTTCTGCTGCAGCAGCAGCAGCAGCAGCAGCACGACGCCGCAGCAGCAACAGAGCAGCAGCATATAAACCTACAAGCGCTCAAACAGATGTTGCTGGGCTTCTTATTGCTGGAGGGTCTCTATTAGAGAGGCATTCTCAGCTCGGTTTAAATTATATGCGATCTGCTCATCAAGAAAATGTTGAAGGAACCCCTCTACGTAGGGGGGCCCCCTCGTCTCCTACGGGGCCCCCTTACAGCAGCTTCTGTGCAAATAGAGGTGCAGCACCAAACCAACCAATAGAGAGCAGCAGCAGCAGCAGCAGCAGTAAAGGTAGAGCTTCTTCTCTTCTTAAAGCTCCGCCTGCTGCAAGCGACGGGTTGGGGATGTGGGAAAGCAGCAGACGTCAAACGCTGCAGCAGCTGCAGCAGCAACAGCAGCAGCAGCAGCAGCAGCAGCAGCAAGAGCAGCAGGAGCAGCAGCAGCAGCAGCAGCAGCAGCAGCAAGAGCAGCAGGAGGATAATTCAACAAAATCTGCTAACTTCCCTAAGACAAGTCTTCTGAAGATGCTGCGCGATAAACACAAACAAAAACAAAACCCCACACAGTAAGCTGCTGCTTCTACTACTGCTGTTGCTGCTGCTGTTGCTGCTGTTGCTGCTGTTTCTACTACTGCTGTTGCTGCTGCTTCTACTACTGCTGTTGCTGCTGCTTCTACTACTGCTGTTGCTGCTGTTGCTGCTGCTTCTTCTACTACTACTGCTGTTGCTGCTGTTGCTGCTGCGTCTACTACTACTACTACTACTACTACTACTACTACTACTGCTGTTGCTGCTGCTGCTGCTGCGTCTACTACTACTATTGCTGTTGCTGCTGCTGCAGCCGTTGCAGCTGCTGCTGTTGCTGCTGCTGCTAGTAAAGGCGTATGTTGGTGTATGTTTGCTGAATTGCAGACAAACAAAACCCAAAGACGTGAAGACGCAGGAGTCTCAGAGGACTTTAGTTACAGCTGCTTACTTCATTGCAATGGGTAAGCAGCAGCAGCAGCAACAGCAGCAGCAGCAGCAACAGCAGCAGCAGCAGTAACATAGGTCGTAGTACTGCCATCAATCACTGCCGCTAGCAGCAGCAGCAGCAGCAGCAGCATCAGCAGCAGCAGCAGCAGCAACAACAACAACAGTAATGTATGCTCTAGGGTTTGTGCCAGGATTTGAGCGTCAGGTATTAGGGTTCAAGGTTTAGGGTTTAGGGTTTAGGGTTTAGGGTTTAGGGTTTAGGGTTTTGTGTATGAAGGCACTGCGTTTGATCCGTCTTTGGGTTTAAGTGAGGCCTTCGATATCAAAGGCAGCACCGTCAGCAGAACGGCGAGAGAAGAGGACACTGTCAAGAAAGATGTTGGTAATGCTGCTGCTACTCCTGCTGCTGCTGCTGCTGATCCTGCTGCTGCTGCATGTGCTGCTGCTGCTGCTGCTGCTGTTCCTGCATCTTTCTTCGCCTGCCGCTTCATCGGCTTCTTCACCTATCTCTGCTGCTGCTGCTGCGTCTGCTGCTGCTTCCGCTCAATCTTCTGCTGCTGCTGCATTTGCCTGCGCAATTATATGTGGTGTTTGGTGCTGCTGTTGCATCTGCTGCTGCTACTGCTGTATATGCTGCTGCTGCATGTGTTGCTCTTGCATGCATTCTGCTGCTGCTGCATGTGCTGCGTATGCTACTGCTGCTGCATGTGCTGCTGTTGCTGCATGTGCTGTTGCTGCTGCTGCATGTGCTGCTGCTCCATATGCTGCTGCTCCATATGCTGCTGCTGCTGCTGCTGCTGCTGCTGCA